CGCACTTAAAAATCAATCAAGTCTTTTAGGTTATCCGAATTTAACGGGCATATGTTCTCACGAAAATATTTCCCTCCTGTTAATACACTGATCGAAATTAGATTTGTTACACTCCTTGATTCTGACAGTCCAGTAACAAGAGTATATCAAAGTACAGTAGAACCTCGATAAGTCCAAGGGAAACACAAAACATTTTAAGTTATAGAGGTTTTAAGTTATTAAGGGTCTATGATATAGAGGTTACTGGCTCTGCTGGGAAGAGAACATATTATTTTTTGAAGTTATAGAAGTTTTTATGTTACCGAGGTTTGAGTTATCGAGGTCCTACTGTATTAGCAAAATCAGCTTACAAAAACAAAACACTAAGATTTACTGACTTCATCTCTGTATGCAATGTAGAGAGGTGTAACTAGAACCTGTCGGCCTTACTTCGAGACCGCAAGCAATCGTACGCAATTATGATAATAATATCCTTTGATACTCGTACAGGATTTCTTTGTTTGAGCAACATATACTAAAGGTTATAAGGCGTTATAGAAATCTTGGAAACAAGGCTTATGCTTCCCTTTTAAAGATACGAGTATGCTGTCAAACATTTCAATATATCACGGTGGAAGTGCTTGAGGTTGTCATTATATACTCGTATATCAACTCTTTAATATGTTCTTGGTCTTAACAATTACGTATATGTAATATATCTTTTAACTATACATGTAATAAAAATGGAATGTCTGTTTGTAATGAAAATTTTCAGATTTTGGGAAGATGAAATATTTGCGATGCTGATAACGAAAATCGCATTTAAACATTTTTTGTCTGTCTTTCTGTCCATAAGCCGCGTTTGTTCCGGTTAATCTCCGAAACGGCTGGGTCGATTTCGACTGGACTTTCAATGAAGGGTAGCTGAAGGAGGCGGGCATATTATCGACAACTTTTTTTTTATTCCGCGCTGTAAATGGTGTAACGGATGGTCCTAATATGCGCTAACAAAGTTTGCGTGCGTCAGCTCGTAATCAATAAAATAGTCAAAAAATCAAACAGCGATCCTCATCTGTTTTAACTAATTTTAAAAGGCTAGAGTTTCGATTCTTTTTTTTATGTTGGCAGTCTATCTTAGTGCAATGTTTATCAGTTGCCAGTTCCGTTGTAACGCTTGCCCGTGTTACATAACAGCGCAACACACGCAATACATTCAATAGACTGCCAATTGGACATGAAGGGCGTTCGCAAGGTGACCGCGAGTATGTTTTATTTATATGAATAAATATTGAGAATTTGTAAATAAAATTGCCATATCTAAACTACAATGTTTAATGCAGCTAAAAGTCTGAGCGATTGTTGCCAGTTACTTACGGCAACAAAAACATAGATTAAAAAAACATAAATCACACTTGGATTTCGCAAAATTACTAGTTACAAAGTTATAAACACTAGTTTACGCATATTATTTTTAATTCAATATTTTTCGTTTTTTTTTATTTAATTGATGTATGCGGTAGCAACATTGTATTAGAGATTGACCATAACCAAACTTAACATAACTTATATCGCTTACATAACTTCGGTTGAACCTCTACATATTATCTAATGGCTTTTAATACGCTATTCATGGAATGTTCATTAGTAAAAACTATCATGCCACACCTATTAAGATGGAATTCATCATAACTGTCGATTCAGTGCCCTCGCAAAACTATCTTTTTCTTTCGTCGCTGATTTGCACAGTTAAAAAAAATACCTCTTTTGAATTAGTCAATTGACGCTAATAATATTGACATGAGCAAAGCAATTGAATAGAAATAATTTAAACATACATAATTTATTCGCTAAGCACATATGTAATGAGATGAAATCAATCTGACAATGGATGGCCACTGTAGCGTTAAATATAACAGATCGGTTTACACTACTTTAGAACAAAAAGTCAGAAACAAAACAAGTATTGTTAAAGAGTCCTTGACATTTGGAATTAATTTCCTTTTATCTTTTAACAAACTTACAACTTTTTATATAAAAACAAAATGTACAAAAGCATTAACAATCATTTCCGTAACACAGAGTATAAAAAAATTAAAAAGAAAACATCCAGACGAATTGAGTACCTTCTTCATTTGGGAAGTCGGTCAAAAATATAATAATGTGCTCGAGAAATCTTCAATTTATTGCTTACCAGGTTTAAAACCTTCTTCTTTACAAAACTTTAGATATGATCACATTATTCAAACTATATTACAGATAACGATAAAAAAAATCATTCGGTATAACATCTTCATTAATTATTCTATAAAATACAAAGAGTTACGTTCAAAACTAATGACTTTATCTTAATAAAACCGAAATAATTCTCTTATTGAAACTAAACGGTGAACTTAACATTGATTAAACGAGGAAAATCGATTTTTCTGCAGTTTCTCAATCGTCACCTAGAGAAGCGTGGTTAATTACTTTCACAGTTAATCCAATTAACAGGGAATATCTTATCGCAGCTTGTTTAGCTCCCGCTGCGATCGTTTTACAACAAATTTGTTCAGTATCCCTTTTACTTTGGAAGTCTACATGTTTGGGATTTTCAAAATACGTTTAAAAGTTCCTGATTCATAAGTGTTAAGATTCGATTGTTCCTAAATTGTTTTAATATATTGAAATATCCAACATTAATATAACTGCAGACAAAACCATTGACAATTTCAGTTGGGTTCAGGGTCAGATCAAACTATAAAGGTCGACTTCGCCCGCGCGAAATTTTCTCACTAATAACATAGCTTTTTAATGGTGAAAGAATTTTTGAAATCGCCCTTGTAGTTTTTGAGCTATTCAATACATACAAAAATACAAAATTTTCCTCTTTATAACTTCTTCATTGTGCAGACTGTTCCTGATGTTTTTGTTGCAGAGATATTTGTTCCGTTCCGCCAAGATAAAAATACGATTAATCCTTGAGCTGTTGTGGCATCAGCTGTACTGTTATAATATGTTTAGATGCATGTAACGTCGCATGTAGGTCGGTCCTGCCTCGAGTTACTGGGTTAATGTTCATATTATACGTAGGGTTGTCACTTCTAATTTCTATACGAGTTTTCGTTATTCGCCGATGAGTAAAAGGTATGAAAGTTGGCAGCCCTAATTATTGAACGTTTGCCAGTCGCTGACATGTTTTGATACCTTCATTACCAACGGTTTCATAATATCTCGATTAGATTACGATAGATGTCGCTTTTCCTGTTCCATAATAACATCCGAAATATCCAGTTTTAGCTCGATGTTGTTTGTAGATTATAATTATCTATATCTATATTTATAATAAAATTGGAGCGACTGTTTGTAATGTCGAATAGTTCGAGATTTCGGTAAGATGATGTATTTGCGTTGCTGAAAATGAAAATAACATTTAATTTTATTTCTATCTGTCTGTCCGCAAGCCGCGTTTGTCCCGGATAAACTCCGAAATGGCTGGACCGATTTCGAACGAACTGTCACTGAAGGGTAGCTGACATAGACCGGTATATTATAGGCTTTTTTATCTTAATATTGCGTGGACGAATTCGCGGACAACGGCTACTTTTGCATTATGAATTACTTAGGCGGGAGTTTATTATTCACGAAAACATTGGCATTGAAGCAAATTACATATTGATTTAGCCCCCGTATACAGCTGTCTATGTGTACTTTATGTAAAACAATGTGTATATTGTCTTTACCTGTAACTACGTAAGCATAATGTGTTCACTATGTAAATAACCCGGTTTCATGGAAAAACACACCAAGGTCCTTTAATTTAAATCTATTCTATCTTTTATTCATTTCGAATCATGTAAAACCTGCAACTGTCGGGAACACGAATAAACCTCTAAAAAACCGCAATCGAAAATGAATATATCTATACTTCTATACTAATATAATAAAGCGTAAACACACTACTTTGTGACGTAAGATGTCAGCAATCACAGCATATTTTTTAAATAGTTCTTTCTTTAATAAAAAGCTCTACGCTTACGTCACGCTTTAGGATATATATTTTCACGCTATCTCACTTAGAGGGTAAATAAATTGAATAAAAACACTAAATTGGGAATGTGATAATTTGACAAAATTAAACAATAAAATGTGTTTTTTTTTATAATTTCATGCTAGTAAAGAATAAACGAAAGGACAAAAAACTTTACTAATCCCCAAAAGTGTTACAAACATCAGTATTATCAATTTAAATAATAAATTTCTCTAGAAAGAACGTTAACATATCATCTACCTCATTCCTATTCCATACATTAGAGAGAGATAGTGTCACATGTGTCTTTAAAACACATTAAACAAAGTCTGCCAAAGATAAGCTAATGCTTAGTATTCAAAGTCTACTTTATCTGTAAGGCGTCGCTTACATTAGTATAAATAACTTACGTAGGTAAGTTATGTTTGCTTACAAGATAATGTATGAAGAAACTGCATATGCAATTTCTCTCGGCTGCAATGACATATTGAAAGTCTGTGAACGTGTATATTCAGATTTGAAGGATGTTTCTATTTATCTAGACAATGCTAAGTGGGTTGTGTGTATTTACACCACATATGTTCAATTGTAACTGAAACATCGAAGTTTTCAGTTGAAATTGCGTGTGTAAGCTGAATTTTAATTGTCAGAAGCGTATGCAGGCTTCACATGCGTTTGCGCATGATTAAAAGGAAAAAAATATGTGTTAATAATTTACAAAATTGTGTTACACGGAAGAGCGGGACTTTCTAACACAAGTGCCTATCGGTTACTTAAAAGGAAGACCCTAGAACTGATTAATTTGTAACTTAACTTGATTTAATAAAAAATATTTTATTTATTTAAAAAAAAAGTATAGGTATGGCAAACTTAACGTACCCTTTGCTTATCTTTAAAAAAGTTTTCCCTTAAACTTATATGTCCATATTTTATCAAACCATAGGATTTATAGTCTAGAATAACACGTCTCTCATTTCGTACATACTATTTTTTAACAATCTTGCTTTTTATTCAGCGGTGTCCGCAAGATGGTCTGCACTACGAGCGGCCGCTTTACGTCGCGGCGGTGCGAGACGGCTGCGGCGTGAGATCGCAGCACTGCGGGAGACCCTCGACGATGTCTGCGAGCCAGGGGACTGCGCCCCACAGCCGCACACCAGAGCACAACTTAACAGAAGAATCGACGAGCTCAAGGTATGGTTAATGTTCAGGTTGATTGTAAACAAAAAATGCAGAATTTAAGAAAAATATAGTGAAATACAAGAAAAGTGATATTGCCCGTTTTCCCTCAACACCATTGCTAAAACAAACAAACCAATGTCGAGGAAATTTCTGTTCTTGAATATTGGATCTGAGTCTACAAATTTAACCTATTCCATAATCTATAATGTTACTTCAATCCTGTCGATTTGAGAATCTAAATAACTGTCAGTTCCCTACCTTTTTAATATTAAGAAATATTACAGAAAATAGTCCATATACATGTTTTACCCGCTATAACAGCGCAGTCTATCTGATGGTAACACTTCGCGTCTAACGATCTGCTATTACGTGACCCGTGGAGAATCTTAAATTCTTTGCAACGATGGTAACTTTGTAACGTTTCCGGCTTTTAGATGTGCATTATGAAATGCTAGATGATGATGAATAAGGAAACATCTGTATACAATTTCATGATTTTAATTCAAAGAGATTAAAAAAAATATGTTAGTAGACACTTCACTTGGCATATTTTAGACTATGTCTAGTCCATATATTTCTTAAATATCTTCGAAAAAATTACTTCTATCAATAAAACGACATAGAGTAGGCAATGGACTAGGATTTCCGAAAGGTACTTTTAATTGAACTGCATTTTGTCTTATGGCATTTCTGAGGTCTACAGAATCTATTTATTTCAATGTATGTGTTGTTTGTTCCAGGAGCGTTTGTCGCGTCTGTTGGAATGCAAGGTGTCAATGCTGAAGCTGACAGTGTCGGTCCGCCGCACGCTGGGCGAGGGCGCTGACGACTCCCTGACTGAGGACCTCACCGCGTTACTCGCCGCGTGGGACGACGCTCACCAAAGGTTAGTACATTGAAACTATGTTGTTTGAAGATATCCATTTTATTATATGTAATACTACAAAATATATCCCTATAGGAGTTTCAAAGTTTTTTTTTTTATTTTATAGCCGTTGCTATCGCCTGGATCGTATTAAATTTTGTTCTGTCGTCTAATATTATGATTAACCTTAGTTATTGTAGTAGTCATACAAAAATTAATATTTCAACGTCCTTAAGTACACTTTTTGTATTCCTCATTCACGAGGATTTATACAATTTTTGAAGGAATGGATTGAAAAAAAGACGATTTATATACATATATACATATATTTATTTTCTTTATTGTAATTTCAGGACATCAAACGAGTTACTCTCGCTAGAGAAGGCGGTGTCCGCGTGGGCGGAGTGGGAGAGCGCGCTGCGGGAGTTGCAGGGGGCGCTGCGCGGCGACATGGCCACGCTGCAGTCGCTGCGCGGCCGCAGCGGACAGACCGACCTCGACAAGATACGACAGCTCGCTGCCTCGCTGGTCGACAAGAAGAAGGTAACTCTACCTATATGTAAGACTAGCTGTTACTCGCGACAACGCCCCTGTGATATTAAAAAAAATGTGAGAAAATATAGCCTATTTTACTCAATGATAACATAGCTTTTCAATAGTGCAAGAATTTTAGATATCGGTATAGTAGTTTTTTAGTTATTACAATACATAGAAAAGTACAAATCACTCTTCTTTATAATATTAGTATAGACATAGATATAGATTATAGTATAGACTACAGTTTGTCGTGGGTTCAGACTAAAATATGTTAAAACAGAGCAACTTAGGGAACTGTGTACTTTAATAGGGGGGAATTAGGATCAATGTTAAGTTCTACTGAGTAAGAGCGTGCGCACACTACTAGATTGTTAGTTATGCACTAAGCAGTTGAATTGCGAAACAATCGACGGTCGCAGAACAGTTGTGCAAAAGTTTTTTAGGCACTAGTATTGCTGCAGTTATGATGATGAGTTTTTTTTCTTATTTCAAAGTTTGTCGGATGTTTGTGTTTCGACAGTGTTTCTGTATGAAGATGTGTTCCCAGGGCGGGTCGACGTGCGACTCGCTGTCGGACTCCGGTATCTCGGACGGGGACAGCGAGGCGGCGGGCGGGCGCGCGCGGCGGCTGTGCGCGCTGCGGGAGTTGGCGCGCCGCCTGCAGGCCGCGCTCGCGCCCGCCTCGCCCGCGCACCGCGCCATCGCTAAGGTATCATTTTATAAATTCGTCTTCGTCAAATTAAAGAATATAACCTATGTTACTCACTGGTAACGTAGATTTTTGATGGTTGCAAATTGAAATTTAAAAAAATATAAATCTTTCCTCTTTATAATATTAGTATACAAGTGAAACGAATATCGAGTCACGTATGTAAAATTATACATAGACAAACTTTATGGTAGCTGGTTAGCTACGATCATGTTTTCGCTTAAGATACTAGAATATTTTTTTTTCCCTGCGATTAATAAGTAATTAATCATCTTTAGTTGTAATGCAATAATGTATTTCTATTCTACAGCGTATGGAACAAACTGAGAACGAAGTAAAAACTCTACAAGAATCGTGCCGGGCGCTCGTCGAACAGAGCATTCCCGATCTTAAAATTGATGATGACATGTAAGTATTTGCTATTTCTTATTTATCAATCAAATCAAGTTTATAACACCATTCAATTTATAAAATACTAGCTTTCGCCCGCGATCGACTTCGTCCACGTGGAATTAAAATATAGTAAAAAAAACATAGCATATGTACTTAGTGATTAGGTACCTTTTTAGTTAAGCAAGATTTTTTTTGAATCAGCCCAGAAATTTTCGAATCATTTCAATACATACAAAAATACAAATCTTACCTTTATATTATACAAAAAACTTTGCCTGTGTTACTCACAGATAATTTTGGGACACTTTCGAGTTATTTCAAAATAAAAATATTTCTTTTATAATATTAGTATAAGCAGTATTAACCAATGAGGGGTGTGTTTTAATTATTTTTTTTGTTTACCAGCGACATGAGTAGGGTGGCGGGCAGTAAGACGGGCGCGGGGGAGCCGGAGTACCGGCCGCGCGGCTGGGTGTGGCGCGTGCTGCGCTCCTCGCTGCCCATACAGCTGTGCCTCGTGGCGCTGCTGCTGGCCGCCTGGCTGGTGGAGCGGCCGCGCTGCTGCGACGCGCTCAACTCGCTCGCGCACACGCTCACGCCGCAGCTGCGCTACGTGCGCGGCCCGCCGCCAGTCTGAACGCATATACTCTATGCTCTTGTCTATGGTTGTACTTTGACATTTGTGGCGGGAATTGTTTTCATATTGCAATAACATCGACAATAATTGAACGTTATTGAAAATCGATTATTGAATGACAATATTGATGTTAGAATAAATAATTCACACATTTAATAAATGTGACGTCTGACATGAAGATATCTCTTCAGTTTCAATTATTTGTTTATGAATGAGTAACTTTTTGATGTCGATGTGTTATGTTGGATACGTGATATCGATATTTTATCAGCTAAATGATGATCGAATATCCCTGCTCTGTAATTTGTCTATGGTAGAACCGTTAAAGTTCTCTACCCAACTTTTTAATTGCAAGAAGGTTGTGAAGTCCTTTGTTATTTCGACAATACCTTTATTCGATAGTATGTTAAATTGTAAACGATTCGAATAAAGTATATAATTTAATGAAATGTACGCAAGAACGGAAGTGGTAACGTGGAAAGATGTTCAAGAGAAGTAGTGTATGGCTTATTTTTTTTCTCTAAAGACACTACTAGTATAGCTTTTTGCTATTGATAAGAGGATTATTATGAAGTTATGGAGAGTTTTGTAGTTATTTTGAAGTGTTTTCTTAGATAGAGAAAAGATTGTTTTAGATAGGAGACGACTAACATATCTAGAAAAGGATGTAAGTTTTCAACTAAAAAAATAATTGATACACGATTGACTTAATACAACAGAAAATTGGCTTAAACTCGCTACATACGCTCAGTACTGATTAACAGTTTTATCTGCAAAGATCAATTGTGAGTGTAGGTAAAATTATAACTGGCAATTGTACTGTACTGTTTACTATGAACACTGTACTGTTTGTCACAGTGAACTGAACAGTACAACTGTCAGAACTAAGCGTATGTAACGAGCTTAACTATTAAGTTGCCAAAAAAAATATTGATGGAAAGTGATACAATAATGCATTTGAACGAAAATTGAAAAAAAAAATTGCCGATAAAAGTGCAAATACGCAAAAGTGTTCTTCAGTCATCTGTATCAGATGAAGTTCAAATTAGTTCTTTTTAGACTAAGTGTACTAACAGTTTGACAAACATTTCTTAGTTTGTTCATAAGCATGCCTATATTAGTACAATTAATTAGTATTTAATTAAAATGTATGAGTGTGCTTCGTGTGAGAGATACTTTCACATCTATTTTACTGCCATTGTCATTTTAATGATCACCTCAAAGAGGTGCCACAAATCAATCATACCCTATAGATAGGACATTTTTAAATTTCACTAAACAATAGTTATTTCATGGAAAACAAATCATCTTATATATGTTTACAAAAGACTGATTTTTACATCTTCACATTTACTATTAGGGGAAAAATAGAATATTTTTATGATTAACAATTAAAGATTTTGATATTTTTTTTAATACATTCAGTTTCTAGTATGAATTTATTTTCCATAGACAATATTTTGACTTTTTTTCCTATTTTTGCATGCAGTGAAAATCACGGACTTTATACTGTTGAAATAATAAATAATATTTTAATTTTTATTTGTAAAACAAATATAATATTGAATGTTATTTTTTATACATTAATTAATTATACATTTACTTTGATGTTAATGACGTATGATCTTTTATATAAATCTTACTTTGATTTAATTCAATGACATTATAGTAAATTGTTGTTAAGTAATTATTTCCTTTGTTTTTATTTTTTGATTATAAATTAAATGATATAAATTGAAATGATGACTATATTTCTTTATGTATTTGCGAACAAAATTTATGATTGATATATATATTGTAATAAAATTTAATGTACGTTTATAAATATTAATGTCAATTTTATAGAATATATTTATGTATTTTTATATACTATTTATCTAATGCCTTAGATATATCATCTACATTAACAGGAAAATGTTCTTACATTTAGTAAATCCTTTTATTGGCCAATTTGCCCATAAATTTTATACTAAAGAACTCGGATGACGTCGAAATCTTTATACCAAAATGATGTATTCAATATTTTATCTGCACTAAGCAAAATGTCACTATTGTGTTTTTAGCACCTTAAAAAAATACTTCACACTATTGTCGCAATTTGTAAATCCATTTTTTTAGAATTTTTATTTAACTGAAAGCCTTTATCGTTAGTTTTGAAATTTTGAAAGATATTTATGCCTTTTAAGGTTATTTTTAAATGGAAATGTGTGTCGTAGATTTTGAAAAAAATGTCAAAATTTACGTTCAGTAGTGAAAACACTTGTTTGTCGTGTATGACGCATACGGTAGTGCATGTTTGATTTAGAAATAAGTTTTTCCCTGTGTGTTTTATAAGGGTTAGTGATTTTAATAAATGAATAATTTCATCTATAATTAATTATCGATTTGACAATTTTTACTGATCATATTATGGCAACACTGTTAAGTTTGCAAACCATGTTTACACGGTATGGAATTAATTATAACAATGAATTGACCACAGGGGAAATATAAGATCATACTATATTTACTTTTAAAGGCGCACAACGCCTTATAGTGTGTCATATTTCTTTTAACATTTTATATTTTAGATTTAACTAAGATTAAATAAAAAGAGTATGGACATGCTATGACAGTGCATTTAAAATTTAACTTTTAACTTGGAAAGGAGCATAATACGAGAATGGAAAATCAACATGTTGGCTTGTTTAATGGAAATAAAAAAATGGTATTTGATTTATGCTTTTTATTAAATTAACACTGTTGGTACTTTGAACTTGCTCAACAATGACCAATTGGTCACCAATTAAGTCCGAATTTATCATCCTTCCTCTTCTAATCCCAAAACTATCCGATAAAAGCTAGACCTATATTTCTCTTGCCGCGTACTTTGATAAGAAATGGCAGTATGAATAATCTGAGTTCCTCGAGTATAGCAAATGCGGATGGGCTTTGTTGATCACCTCGGTGTTCCCGCTTCTCCTTTATACATTTCTCATATGAAAAAAAAGATACATTCTAAGTACAAAAGAAGTAAAGAAATGTTTCCGAGATCTAGTATTCCTGATTGATTTTGTATTTCAATTCCTATATTAAAGTAAAATACTTATTTTTTAAAGACAAATAACAAATACAACGTAATATAAATAGTAATGTATTAAAAACCAAATAAAACTGCCGAGTTTCGCTAAGCATCCACTGCCCCTACAAAAAACCACCAGATGTCCTGTAAAACGGCATTTTAGTTAGTGGCTAAATAAAAGTAAATGTGTTCTGTTAGTACAATGCCAATTACACTGCAGCATTATTCTATAAGCAATGCGCTTGAATCTAAAATAATTTTATAAGAAGAAACTAATACCGTTGCCAAGGTTTTATAATTTTATACAATCAGCTAAGTACTGTAATATATCAAGAACTAACTAAAGAATATACTAGTTATACTATACTAGCAACACTAACCATATAAAATGCTTGCCATAGACAATAGAGCTGACACGATGTGCCCTCGGCGCCACTCAACGCGTCCTCGACGCCACCCGACGCTTTCATTGCCACTGACCTCTATAAATGGACAGGTTTAGAGCTGTGGTGTTTTATGACTTTTTGTTTTCGCCATTTTGCATTTCGTCGAGGTGACGAGTTTTCGAAGTAGTGTTAGCGATAGACTCAACTGTCATTTAAATCGAAACGCGCGTTTAAATCAGAACAATATAGAAACTGTTTTTCACAAACAATTGCCTATCTATCAAGTTACGAAAGTTACAAATCTATGGTTATTGCGCTTCCCCTTGCAAGCCCCCTCCTCCCGCCCAAAAATTCCACTTCCGGAAAAAAGCACGCTGTGGAAGAAACGTTGTTACGCACGTGTTAAAACTATTTTATAAATTTATAATTTCGTCATAAGTTTTAGATTGTAGTAGTTGTTAATACAGATTTTGTAAGTCTGACGTGGTGAGTACCGAAGATTTGGTTATCCACTAATTATTTTATTTAGCCGTTTGTCGCCATGTTGGCTCGTTTTATGTCGCCATTTCAAATTGTATTGCATTTGCGTGTTTGTGTAAAAGTTTTTATTTAAAAGTGTAGTGATATTTATCTCCCGTTTTCCGTTATTATTGTGATTGTGTTATTTTACGTATCTTGTATGTATGATACTAACAGTTATAGTATCCATATCTAGTTTTAAGTATTAAAAAGAGAAAGTTTTAAAAATTTAACGTCAGTCTACTTAACAAGTAATTATTTATATAATTATACATGCTAATAACTTCCAATATACTAAAGACTTCGCTTCCAAATTTGTTATCACCAATTTTGGTAGATTACATATTCGCCGCCATTTTGTTTGTTTTCTGAAACACGAGGCAAATTTTATAAAGCACTAAGAATATTCACAGTCAAAGGAACGTGTAAACTTAACCCAGAATTGAAACTTGTGATCTATTTGTCCATTAGAGAAAATAAGCTTAGATTGGGTCCGTGGTTTTATCGAAATATTTTTATTTTAGAACCATGGTGGGGTCACGTGTATACGTTGGCGGGCTACCATTCGGTGTCAGAGACAGAGACTTAGAAAAGTTCTTCAAAGGTTTTGGTAGAATTCGAGATATTCTTATCAAAAATGGATATGGCTTTGTGGTAAGTTCAACATTGTGATTGTTTTTAAGCTTCAACGTAGATTATTACGCAGCCGGTTTTTAGGTTACAGCCACTTGTTATAATAGATGAAAGACACAACAACAAACAAACACAAGTATAACAGTGGTAGAGCCCGCTTTAACATCTTCGCACGAATGGGCCGACTCGCCCGGTGAAATACCACGACCACACAGAAGACAGACGTGAAGTGGAAGCAATTCCGCGTTTCGTCTGATGAGTGGTGCCGGAGGCCTAATTTTAGTCCCTTTCCCTTTCCACCCTTTTTTTAACAGGAATGGATGGGAAGGAAAAGTGGATTTGTCGGTGGTGGAGACACATATGAACAGGAAATGACCTCTTTATGTGCGTCTCCACCTCCGTCAATGAAGGGTAGGCAACTCATCTGCAATTGCGGATGTTTATGGGCAGCGGTCGCTTTCCATTTCGGAGGATTCAGGTGACCGCTTGCTCGTTTGCCACCTTATATTATAAAAAAAAACAAAAACAATATTGAGAGTGTAATACTATCAAGAAATTTGTACAGTGACTCCCAACACCAAACTATTCAGTGTGTTATGAAAATGTTTTAGTCACAAAATTATCAGTCATATCAGAAGAGTTTTAACGTTGATGATTTAGAAATAATGCTATGAGTGCTTTAATAACTCTGAATATTTTGTTACCTAGAAAAGTACAAAGTGCTTCTCAGAAACCTGATGTCATGACAATGGCCTTTCATACTATGTAGTTTTTTAAGAAATTCCCGCTGGGCAACCCGTATTACTCTTCCATTTCTTAGTTGATCTAAAATGATTTAATTTTGTTTTAGGAATTTGAGGACTACAGAGATGCAGATGATGCAGTATATGAATTGAATGGAAAAGAACTACTTGGCGAGCGGTAAGATATCAATTTTACAGTAAAACTATATGTAACAATATTTGTGATACAAGGATGAAGGCATTGGCTAATAAACAAACTGATCAACTAAGGATCTTTTAAAACCATGCAAATTTATGGTTACCACAAATATATGGTACTAAAGTTGTATTTAGCAATTATAAAACTAAAGGTTGCAGTTGGTGAGCATCTAAATTCATTATTTGTGATTGAAATTAGTTGTGTTTTCAATATAAATATATTAAAAAACTATTTAGCTGCTGAATGAATTGCACCTGAAAATATTGAGTTCTCTTGATTTTTTAAATTCCTTATGTGATACTAATAATTTTTTCACCAGCCGGCTCCACATAATAAAAGGGGTTGTTCGGTTGAAGTCTCATAGTTTCTATATTGGATGCATAACACAAAAATGTATTCTGCAAAGAATAGTTGAAACATTTTGAATTTGTTTTTGATGTGAATGAAAATCTTGGAGCCATGTACGAGTTCCATTTAGTCATGGTAACTCAACTAAAATTAATGACATGCAGATCAGTTCATGGTTTGCACAGATGAAGCAGATCAGTGAACCGGTACACAGATCAACTCAATTTGTACTTGCATTGCATACAGTTTGTAGCTTGTTTGTTCCCATAGTATAAGTACATTGTGTTGAGCTGTGAGCTAATTCTGTTGTTGAGTTGCAGCTCAACAGTTCAAGACTATGTGAGCTGATTTGTTGAACCGGTTCAGAGCTAATTTAACACATATATGTCTAGCTCCATGTTAAATCATAATATTGGGGCGACTATATAATTACTAAAGAATAATTTTGTCTGAAATGAGGTAAAAATTGAGTGGTGAGGTACAAGATGAGGTATAATAGTGTCGATCAGTTTGAGTGTGGATGGGAGGGGGTTATAACGCGCGGGGTTGCCGCAGGGTGGTGGTGGAGCCGGCGCGGGGCATCGACCGCAGCGCGGACCGCAACCGGCGCGACCGCCACTACGAGCGCGACCGCGGCCGCTCGCGATACGAGTGAGTGCGTGTGTTGTAGGGTGTCGGTGGAGCGCGCGCGGGGCGTGCCGCGCGGCGCGGACCGCCGCCGGGGCCGCGACGCGCCCGCACCGCGCACGCACGCGCCCCACGCGCCCCACTCCAGCGCGCCCCACGCCACCCACAGAGACGCGTTTGTACACACACGCACGCAAACACCACACGCGCACGCCCATTACACCTACACAACATACACCTTGCACAACACTAACAACCAGGATATACCAAAACAACTTAGCCTGGCCTCTTGAAACATGAAAATGCAGTTGTTATCCAAACTTTTAAAGAAGGCCAGCCTGATACTCCATTTTTCTAAAGGGTAATAGCAGTCATGACAACTTTATGGATCTTAAACTACATATGTTTACAAAGTAGTGATCTTAAAAAAATTAAAAGTAAAAAGTTGTTCATTGTGTAATGAGCGGACCATCGATAGCAGTGGTTGACTTTGGGCTGATAATGATAAATTTTAAGAACCAACATTGTTATAGGAAATCAAACAATTGAACTTAACAGTTTTTATTACACATATTCCTGTTGAATTATTTTGCTTCCATATGTCATGTGTTAATTTGTGGTACTTTCGTTCCTATCTTTTGCTTTGAGTAGTGCATTTCTATCTTAGTTCTATTTTTATTTTCTGGACTATTTGTTTGTTGTATTAGTTTCAGTAGTCTGATTTAGTGTAATATAGCAAATAGACTATCATGTGATTCTCAAAATTAATAGTCGGTAATGATTAAGCAAGTTCATTTTATTTAAATTGATATCTACATTTGATAGAACTGTACTTTAGATAAATTCTTGTATAATTTGAATACAAAGTATACCACAATCTTATCTCTCATTTTTTAAAGTTGTTACTTTATACCTGTAATTAATAATAAAATTTAAAATCGTAGAACAGTTTGATTTCATTAGATATTCCATAATACAAATATATTAAGCCACTAAGCATGCCAAACATCTATTAAAGTGCTAAAAGTTAATGGTATTATTTTTGTGTTGACAGTGACTACAATTATAGATACGGACCGCCAACGCGCACCGAGTACAGACTTATCGTCGAAAATCTATCTAGCCGCATTAGCTGGCAGGTAAGCGAGTGAGGGCACACCACGGCTCCATCATCATTCCATCAACACTCACACAGGGGACCCCATCACACGGCCTGTCACACGCGCTACCGGCTCACTGACCACTGCCCACGCCCACTGGCGCACTGGCGACACGCCCCCGCGCGATACCACTGCTGGAATACCGGACAGGAACGCAAGCCAGCCGAGCCATGCCACAACATTGGACCACTAACGGATAAATAGAACAATCTGAAGACCTGATATATCAATATTGGAACTGTTTGGATGAGAATGAATATTGGATGAAGACTGTTGGAAATGGAGGATCCACTGATTGGAGGACTGGATGGTGCAGACTGCCACAGGACAGGAAGGGTCGAGGTCCGCAGCGGAATATCATATAAAATATAGCCTTAACATTGTAAGTTAGTTTAAATAGACATTGCATAGAGTTCATATACAAAATATAATTATAATGCAATCTAACGACCTTATAGTTGATTTTTGAAAACGACAGAAGGTGGCGTTTCGTGCCTGAGCCCCCCCGATGTAGCGCTGTGTGATGTGGTCTGAAGCGATTATATGAGGGTACGTCGCTGCCGCTGCCGCCGCGCACCGCCCACAAGGTAATGTAGGGTGGCCACAACAGGACACAATCGTTATGTGCAACCCCCCCATTTTATATATCATTTTATTATCAAAACACTCACAACTCGATTTGGACCCTCAGTAATTCGTCACTGTTGTGGCAGATTGTTCCAATTATTTGTTTCTTTTTTTCTTTAGTGGTCAGACATTGTTTCGTGGATGGTAAATACTTATTGGTGTCATTGCTTACGATGATGGCTGAAAGGACTCTGTCGTTTTTGCTGCAGCGGAACACATCTGTGGATGGAAGACAAGGGCTCACACAGGACTGGACTTGTTATGCAGGCCTCTATGGAGAATGGTACATATAATACCAAGGACTACGAGGAGTAGGAGCAATAGCTGATACCATGAATGGTGCTGGCAATTCGATTAACTGAATGGTACAAGACAATAGAATAATACATTAATACATACAATTATACAATAATACATAATTATGCAGATGATTTATCGGTACAGACAATACTCAGAATGGGTTACTCGATAATTGGCAATAATGTTAAATGACACACTGAATGGTTTGGATGTTGAAGAAGTGGTACCAATAATAATGAGCATTACTAAGACCATGCATGAAGACAAAATTAATCTAAGGACCTCTAATATGATAGGACCAAGGATCTAAAATTGTTTGAAACGATCAATTGATATGCGAAGCTGAGAATTGAAACCCAGGATAAGGATAAAGTTGGAGTGAACTATTGAAGATGGGATACCTGATGTAAATAAAGGCAACTTGGAGTGGGCATGTGAAGACTCGGAGACAATAAGCAATGACAACCAATCAGTAATCATACACGTAACATTTGTTTTGACGCGTATTTTTTTTTTGTTTAACCCCCCTTCGGTTCATTAGGTCCTATCCTTGTTTAGGTTATCCTAAAATAGTTCATTGTTAGGCATTATTTTAATCATTCATTATGCATTTTAATGATGATATTTATATATTCAACCATCTTTCGGGGCTGAAGGCCTTGATGACAATTTTATTCTGATGAAGATTTCTTTTGATGTATTCTGTTACTGTTTTAAAAACTGGTTTTAATGTGAACATGTTTGATCTCTAGGACTTGAAGGATTACATGCGTCAGGCTGGCGAAGTTACCTACGCTGATGCCCATAAGCAGCATAGAAATGAAGGGTGAGTTGGCTAAAATATAATGAAATTATAAAACATCCTATTAATTCTGTAGGACTCTTTGAATTATCTGATATGGGAAACTGTTATCAAACAGTTCTGTTAATTTAATTTCCATGTCAAGTCAGTATTAGATATAAACAGTTGTTTTATTAATCAAAATTGGGATTAAGTTACCATATATTCTATGATCCTTCTATGATTATTGAATTGGCAATGGTAAAGCATTATTTTAGAATATTCTAATAGCATTCTCGAGCACTGGCTACCGTAAAATACATGAATTATGTTTGCTCAGCTATGATAATACTGCACTGCATCCAACCTCCAGTATTGTTTAGTGACACTTCAAAACAATATATTCACATACTTTACTGGCTGGTTCACATTTGGCCACTACAGTTAGAATGTAACCCTCAATAAGTTACTGGCCTTCAACTGGCACAATTTAAATACTCTACCAGTAAGTCCATATAATCCAAGCCTGGCCTAGGCTACTGTCTAAGTTTCTTTTGTATTACAGCGTGGTGGAGTTCGCGACGCACTCGGACATGCGCGCTGCGATAGAGAAGTTGGACGGCACTGAGTTGAATGGACGCCGCATCCGGCTGGTGGAGGACCGCCGCTCTTCGCGCCGCCGCACGCGCTCCTCTTCCAGTCGCTCGCGCAGCCGCTCCCGCGACCGCCGCCGCTCGCGCTCCAGGTATGCACCGCACCTACACCACATCTACACCACACCTACACACCATCCACACCGCACCTACACCACATCTACACCGCTCTTACACCACATCTACACCGCTCCTACACCACACCTACACCACATATGCACCATACTAATACAATTATAATGTACAATTTCAAATTTTATGCACACAATACTCAAAGGTCTTGTATTACAATTTTTAAATCTTCAATACTTCCTTTAATTCCAAAGAGTATGTTTTTCATTATGTAGTCCAATTTTCAATGAAAAATTTCCATTCGTTTTTTAAGTTATCTATGTGTGTCTAACGACAAAGAGGTTAATGAATCGCCAAGAATACGAAAAGTGTAATGCATTAAAAACTTACCACTGGATAATACATTTTACACTCAACATATTGACTTTTATATGATGATACTATATCTTTACCATCTTTCGGGGCTGAAGTCTTTTGATCGATAAAATTCTAACTGAGGAAATTCATAACATATACGAAATTTCTTTAAAAGAAACACATTTCTGATACGTTTGTAATTCATTTTCAGATCTCGTTCCCGTCGTTCGTCTCGCAGCCGGTCCCGCTCCAAGTCCCGGCCGAAGACCAAGAGCCCCGTCGCCAAGTCCCGCTCTCGCTCCAGATCTAAGTAAGTTGTTTATTATTTAATTATATTTACATTTAGCATGAGATCTTAAGAACACTATGCCAGTTCTGTTTATTTCTCTTAGTACTAATTCTTAATTTTCTTAGTATAGTTGAATAATTGAGTAAAATAATTTAGTCATCATTAAAATACTTAGGTATTTATAGGTTGTGAAAGAAAAACGAACATAAAATCTTACACCAGACACTGTATAATATTGCAAGCAGAGGTTTATTCTTAATTTCAATTCTAAACACAAGAAGATTGCAACATAATCTAGAAAGAAATGAATAATTTGCTTGCATGCACCTATATCTTTATCTTAAAATGCAACAAGGCGGCTTACTGATGAATATTGCATGTATTACAATAATAATGTAGTGTTCATTTGGCTAGGTGTGTTGTAACATGCGCTGAGCAAAACTTGAACACGTAAGTAATCTGCAAACTATATACAGTGTTGTATGTTTATAGCTGAGTAGATAAGTATATGCTATTCAACGGGGGCCATGATTAGTCAACACTATTTTGCTACATCAAATATATCGACATTTATCTGTTTAAAGTAAAAAAGCTATTTATATAGTAAATGCACGATTAAACATAACCAGGAATTCCAAATAGTTTTGACTGATCACATGTAGTGCTGTAGATTGAAATATAACTTAGTATCCAACCGAACAACTAGGGGGCGCAGCCACTCCAAGTCCGCGTCCGCGTCGCCGGCGCGCAACTCCCCCCGCGAACGCTCTCCGCGAAACTCCCCGCGACACTCCGCAGATAGGAACGGCCGGGAACGATCCCGAGAGCAATCCAGGTCCCGCTCACGAGAACGATCCAGGGAGCGATCCCGATCCCGTTCCCGTTCCAAGTCGCGCTCGCCCCGCGCCGACAAGTAAGTACAGCTCTGTGCTCTCAATACACCACACACCTACGGGTACGCTTTACATCTGTGAGGTTATTTCTCTCATCATTTTGTTTGTCAATCTAAAAACAGACAATTCTATGTCTGATGTAAAAAAAAAATCATAAAGTACATGTTTCAATCTGTATATAATTCATCAAATAACATTTTTTACATATCCTTACGAAAAATAATCTCACAATATTCAAGCATATCCGTCGGTTATCGATTTAATGTACAATTGGCTTGTTTCATTCAAAAAAACATTCATACCTTGTGACTAATATAATTGATGGCACAAACAATTTATTAACTCCATCCATGTTTTCCTGCGCTACAGAGAGAAAGCAGAACCAAAAAGGTAAGCTATTTAAATGTTGTCAGTTTAGCTTTTTTTATGTGTCTATTCGGTGTATATAGACTCTGTTTAATTGTTTTTATTTCCTCTCAATAATAAGAGAATAATTGAAACTGTTACTTGTAAAGAATTTTAAATGTGACATTTATTGCAGGTATTTGTAAGAAAGGAAGTTGCCATTTCATATTTATTTTTTTACTGCTAAATGTTCAAACATTCATTAAATGTAACATATATCCAAAAATTTTATGAGTCCTGATTTGAGCACACATGCTGATTTTGTAAACTCAATCTACTTATTTTAAAAATTAAAATTTTTATACTAAAAGATCTGAGCTCCATTACAGCAAGTAAATTTTAACGAATTCTGTATTTTATTAAAGAAAAATTACACGCGTCTCAAATACGTTACTAATCTATGTGGCAAATAATAACGGATACATTGATGTTACAGGGAGAGGTCTCGTTCGCGCAGCAAGGAGGCGCAGTCCCCGAAGCGTGAAGAAGAGAGACGCGCGAACAAGTCTCGCTCGCGGTCTCGGTCTCGGTCCCCGTCCCGAGACCGGTCTCGCTCGCGGTCCCGCTCTCGGTCTCGGTCCGCCTCCCCGCGTCAGAACGGCACCGGACAGGAGCGCGCAAGCGCGGACCGCTCCCCGCGCAGCGGAGACTAGAACTGGGACACAATTAGGTTTACGTGTTAGGTTTATCTCGTGGCTTAGAACATCTTATAAGCAATTTATCTTTAAGTATTTCGATTGTCTTAAGAAGTTGCGTTTTGCAATTTTACACTTTTAATGATATTTTTATCACTTGCTTCTTTCGTAAATATGACCTATAGAGCGGGTGCACGCCTTTGAGTTTACAATCGCATATCTGTTGAGCATTTGTTGATTCTTTCGCAATTCAACAGTAGTTGCACAACTCAAAATCGCATAGTGTTCGCATCTTCACACAAGCTTTTAGGAATCGAAGCGAGACTAAACAGTTGTGCTATAGTTTAGTCACAGGTGTGCGCGCGCTCTTAATATGACTTGTAAGTTTTTAATTATCAATAACAGCTAGTTCAAATCATCCGTAATAGTGTTGTAATTTGACTAGCTCTGTTGTTGCAATGTAAGGAACGTTTAGGAAGTACACTTGTAGCAAGCAAGATTTAGACTACTTACTAAGGTCTAGATTTAATATGAATGATTAATTCATTAACTTTAGATTCTGCGTTAATAATGTTTTGGACTCATTAAATATGCAATATGAAAAGTAAAAGATAAATATGTAAATAGAGATATTGTAATGTCATGATTACTTTAATATTTGGATGTGTTTGGTTTCCTAGTTTTAAGGTGATCGAGGTCGCTGCACTCGCTTAGGTTAATTATAAACGCACTTTGCGTCACTATTTTTATGACATCTGTATCGAGTTAAAGTTACACCTTGTCTACAAATAAACAGGAACTCGAAAAGTACATATGAAGAAGAAATGTTTGTGTAATGATATATTTGTAATGTAATTTGCATGTTTCAAGTGCATTTAAATTAAAAAAAGACTAGAAATGGTAGTTCAAAATGTTCACTGACTTAATTGAAAAATAATATGTGAATGGTTTTCACCAAGTTTTTTGGTGTTTCTTTAGATTTCATGTAGACGTCCTAATATTTTTAGGTGTAATGGTATTTTTTTGTAAATATTAAATTTGTTATTATAACCAAATAATTAGATACGATAATTGTGTTTTATTTTATACTACGAGATTTCCAAAAAAATCAGTCATTTATCTGTTACTCTTTCTCCCCTCGAATTGATGGGTCGGTGGCTTAAGAGTTTGCACTTGATTTGGGTTCGAATCCCGTGAGTGTATAATGGTGGGTGTAGTATACCGAAATAAATTATACCATTTACCAAGAAAATGTCTTAATTAGTACCTCTAAAAAAGTGCCTCCAGAACGAAATTTAAAGTATATCATCAATATGGCGGGTGTACTTTTAAATAAAACTTGCTTAAAAAAAATCACGATTTCAAAAAATGCCCACTATTATAGTTCGTTTAAATAAGATTGATAAGTTTGACAATTCATTTGAAATTTAGTAGGGATGGGTTGTGTAAAATCAGTCATGGATCTTATCGATCGAGTTTTGCTTATAAAATTATTAGATCCAAACATTTCCACTTAGCATTTGCAGTTTATATGGAAATTCTATATTTTTGGAAATCTGTTAAAAAGCTATTTTCTATAAAGTTACCAAAAATGGTACGTTATTGAGGTTATAGTATCCAGTTTTTAGATAGGTAATATAAAAGGGAAAAAATGAAATATTCTTGTTAATCTTTTGTAAACAATTGTTTATTAACATTTTATCTGTGTGCGTTCGCACACAATAATACACATTCGTCGCAAACACTCGCTGCCGCGGCAGCATCACACAGTTTGACTTTTATTCGATAGGATCTATTTATGGAATTATTTGTTACATCATCTATACAAGGCCGCTTTCATTTTTCTTTTGAAATTCAAAAACACAATGTGAATATACTAAAAGTTATAAAAATAGAAAGGAAAGAACAATAACGCTTGTACTTTATCTAACTTAGACGATATCATAGTACATTTAAGACAATCAATTGGTCACATGCAAAATAAACATAGAAAAAATAGCGAAATAAAAAAATAAATTTATAAAAAAAGAAGATAAAAGATACCTATGAAAAAATGGAATGATTTAAAATGTTTATCTTTCAGTATACTCACACGTCACTTTAAATGCAACTTAATAAACAAAGCGATCGAGTACAGAATAATAATCAAGAAGTCGCTTCCGCTTCAGTCAATTGTAAACAAAATTTAAAAAATAATTTAACATTGATTTCTTCATTAATTTACATTAATTCAAAGATCATAATCTTTCAATAAATAAATTAAAATACTGTCATATTATTGTTGTCTAACGAAATATCGTGTAAATTTTATTTAAAATATCGAAAAGAAAAATGAAAGTTTGTTTCGCTGTGATCAACTTTAAGTACAATGTTTTAATTACGTCCGGCAAATGTTTGTTAATCATAATTTTCACATAATTTAAAACTTACATTTTGTCATCTTAAAAAATTAAATACAAGAACATTATTATTGATCATCAGTCTATTCATAGTTTGATATAAATTTTACAATTTCTCAAAATCGTCGATTTAACCTTCTTTAATCTACGTATGAGTACAGTAGGCAACACGGGAGGCGACGCCATCACTTCAATATATCTACAACACTTATGAAACGGCCAATTTAACATAATTTATCTGCGACGAGCCGTCGACGACGCGGCGTCGTCCCGGCGTAGGGCCGGCGCCGCGTCGTGCCGGTCGACTACGTCTGCTCGCACTTCACATATTTAAATAAATAAGTTAAAACAAAACATACTAGGAGTCCCGCGTTGCCTAACATTATCGTCAGTACTCTTACGGAAGTTATGGAGAATATACTTACAACGCTACAACTTAATAGTTTTTATACACAATGACTTAGGTTTCGACATTTTGTTTCTTATAAGTACACGAAAATATTCTAACTTACGGCCTAACTAGGTGCGCGGCGATGCCGCGAGCGAGACGCGCGCCCCCTCCGAGTGCTACAACGAAATAGAGAGGGCGCGCGTGCGCTCGCGCACCGCACTTTGTGCGTCGTCCATCCGGCGAGTACGGGAAGCGAAGTGAGATTGGAAAAAATCTATGTCGATTTTCAGAAAAACCTGAACATGATTTTCGATTTCGATCACTATTCATTATAATCATAGGAACAAATGACAATAATTAGTCAATCACAAAAAATATATAAAATATAATCAATGTAAAACCGATGAACGCAACATTCGCGTTATAAATTAGTCTAAAAATGTAACTTTCCGCAGTGTTTGGTTGTGGTCGGTCAGTGGTGCGAGTCTAGGAGAGGGCGAGCGGCACCGTTACCTACAGAGATCGCAGACGTGGCGCGAGGCCACAGCGCGCGCGACCCGCCGCCGATACTATTTACAGGGCGCGCGGATCGCACTCACTAATAAATACATACGAACGCTTACAACTAGCCGTCTATACAGGGGTCACTTTACAATTAACGCTATATATACACGCGGCGCACAGCCTTGATCGCACTAGCGTCCGTTATCAATAAATAAGTTATCGTGTCCATTGACGCTTCGGTAAGCACTACACTTGTGTGGCGAAGGTCGGCGGCAGGCAGTGGTCGTCTAACACATACACCCCTCCGCCTTCTAGCGCTCGTTTCACTAGCGACGTATCGCTGCAACAACAGAAAAATAGGTTAATTATACACCCACATGCATAAATAATATGTATAACATTAAAATTCAAGTTATTGTATGTAATAATCGAATAAAAGTATCTTTAAAAGATAGCAAGCCGCTATGTTTATCTTAACGTGATGCTAAATTCTGTGTTGGCAGATCATACATATTTTGTTTATAAACTTGTGTTGTATGTAAGGCATAAGTACCAACCTGTTCGCACAGTAGGCGGAGTCTGCGGAGAGCCGCGAGAGGCGCGGATCTAGCGCGGCCAGCAGGCGCGCCGCGCTCTCCGTGTTCAGCGTTTTGCGCTTACACTCCTCCGCGGCCGCGTTGTGTGCATTCTGGCACTCAGCGGGCGCGTCGCACTTGCCCCACGTATTGCGGATGACGCGCCCGCCCGCGTTAGCCGCGTTCTGTGCGCGTGCCTCCGCGTCCGCCGCGCGCGCCGCCCGCCGCCGCCGCACACACAGCGCTGCGCCCGCCACCAACGCCACCAGCGGCACCAGCGCCGCTGCCGCCGCTATCAGAGCCACATGCCCGCGCTCCAGCGGCGCCGCCTCGCCCGCCGTGCCCACCTCGCCCGCGCCCTCCGCCTCGTCGCCCACGCGCCGCAGATGCCCGCCCGCCGGTTTGGCGGCCGCCAGCTCGGCCAACGACACCGTACACAGCTTGCCGCTCCAGCCGCGCGGGCACAGGCAGGTGTAGCCGTCGACACGGTCCTTGCACGTGCCTCCGTTCCTGCACGGCGAGGAGGCGCACTCGTCCACGTCGATGCTGCAGTCCTTGCCGGCGAAGCCCGCCCGGCAACGACACTCGTAGTCGTTGTCGAGCACCAGGCATTCTCCTCCGTTCGCGCAGGGCTTCGCTAAGCACAGGTCCACTCGGGTCTCGCAGCGTGGGCCGAGGAAGCCTGGCGCGCACTGGCAGCGCTGTCCGTTCACCAGGTCGACGCAGGTGCCGCCGTGCTCGCATGTGATACCGGCGCAGTCATCTATATCGATTTCGCAACGGTTGCCGCGGAAGCCAGACTTGCAGTTGCAGCGGAAGCCGTCGCCGGCGCGTGAGCAGGTCGCTCCGTTACGGCAGGGGTTGGCTGCGCAGGGATCGGCCTCTAGGCCGCAGTCGACTCCGGCGTACCCAGCGGGACACATGCACACGAAGCCGGAAGATCGGGGCTCACACGTTCCACCGTTGCGACAAGGTCTATCGGCACAAGTCAATCTTCTGGTCTCGCAGCGCGCACCCTCGTACCCCGAGGGGCAGGCACAGGACAGTTCTCCTCCTTCGTCGGGAACGCAGGCTCCCCCATTTCGACACGGCCGGACGGCACAGGAGTGCAGCGACTTCTCGCAGTCGGGACCCGTGTACTCGGCGGGACAGACGCAGGTGTAGCTGCCCTGGCCAGTGTTGTGACACGTGCCGCCGTTCCTGCACGGGCGGTGGTTCGTGCAGTAGTTGAGGTCCTGGTTGCAGAACAAGCCGCCCCAACCCTCCTCGCAGATGCAGTCCCACGGCTTGGAGCAGGTGCCGCGCACGCAGCCCGGGTGCCGCTCGCACTGGTCACACAGCTCGCCCACCCAGCCCGAGTGACAGCTGAAAACAAAGGAAAGACATCCGTCAATAAAGAGCGCGACATGATAACAAGCGTCTAAAAAGCGTGTCTTTCACCGCTTAAAGGGACGATGAGGCGCATGTACGATTACAGCGCGGAGGGAGGTAGGTAGGTAGGTAGCTGGAATGTTTAGCACGGGGGTGCGAAGTGGATACTCACATGCATTCGTCGGGCTTGAGGCAGTGGCCGTGCTCCGCGTCGCAGCCGGGCAGGCAGCGCGCTGGAACAAAAGAAACCTTCGTTAGTTAGAGTCGGACACACAATAAGTATAGCGCTCGTGCTAACTGCGACCCACCGCGCTCACGACACATCCTCCGAGCGTTTACCGCAGCTCGAATTAACTTCGGCATCTTGGTTCGCAAAACACACGAATGACAAAGAGAGAGGTTCGTTAGTGTTCCCGGCGCGCCGGGGCCGGGGGCGAGGTCGCGCGCACGTCGATTTATCTCTCAACCACTATAACATCCTCAACAAAATTTACGACCCGCATTAAATACATTTTTATTTCTAAGTTGGAACAGGTGTGCACTTGATGGTTTTAGTTTAACTCCGTCGCTATGGCAACAGTAATGTATTCATCATAAATAATAAGGATAAATATTTTGTACAAACGTAAAATATTAGAAATATAATATGCGCGTCTTTAACCGTGTGATTTACGGTTCGTACGGCAGACGAGGCCGCGAACCTTACTCGGATGTAGAGGTACTGGTACCAGGCGAGCGTTAGCCGAGGAGCGGCGCGAGTGCGCGGAGTGCATTGCGGTTTGTGAACCCGAGAAGACGCCAATAACAAAGGTAACAGTGGTAATGTAAGCCGCTGGAAAAATAGTAGTGTTTAGAAATAAGAAGTGTGGCGCGCACTCGTATCGGTCGGGTGCGCACGGGCAACTTATCGGAGCGAATACAAAGGGGGCAGATAGCGCGGGGAGCCTAACCGACGCTCGACCGTTACTAGTCCCCTAACTAGAAAAATACTAAGGCGCCATTTTGCTCACGACTCGCGTTTCCATCGCATACAATCCGATTTTATACCGGTTTAAATTAAACGAGGAAGCGCTCTGTGTATTTTGCTGAAACGATGAATCTCGACGGGTCGGCGCGCCGGGATGTAGGAGATTAGCCTCCCCCGGCGCCCCTACACCATTACGCAGGTTTAAACTTCGCCAACGCTGCATAAAGCCCCCGAAAGTGCACCGAGCTAATCCGCTTACGACTCGCTCTAACAAATTGGAGAGGTTAGTCCGGATAGATTTGCGTTGAGCTATATTTACGTTATGAAAGTTTAGATGTAATTTAACCTTAGATAGTTGAATATTAAGAAAGTTTTTTTTGAGAGCGAAGGCGCCTGGTTTCGGTGCATCAAAGCGTCGATCAAAGAGTCTGAAGTAGTCTGGTTTAATGCTCATTGCACTATCCACTCTAGAGCGACGCCACTCGACTCCGATCTTTCTTATCTTGATCCTTGAGCGATCGGTAAAACGGGAGTCGTAAAAGTTATACGAAAGTGTCAGTGTTGGCGGCCGGCGCCCTGCCGCGTTATTAATTGTCAATGAAAACGAAGAGTTGGTCGATACCAACTCGAATCGACATTCAGTAGATATACCGAGGCCCCGGAGGCCAGGTAAGTCGATGAAAAAAGCTACCCTAGACATGTCACACGTGTTCCGGTCCTGCGCAAATATTGAGTGATCGCATCTGTTTGTAGACGGGAAGCGCGGGCCGCGTGGGATTCGCGATTCGGGATGCGCGTGAGAACCGGGCCCGGCTCGACAATTAGGCGAAATTGCGTTGTTTACCCCGTCATTAGCGGGCGAGAGTTGCCGGATAATTCTCGGGGGCCATGCGAGCCATGCAAATGATTCCGTTTTCGGGATCGTTAAGCTTTCCCAGAAGGAGGGATACCGTTCGGCAGATGCGATGTATCGTGACACGGTCAAGTGTATAGTTTATTTCGATTGGCGTTTCGTTTCTCGTCTAAAGGTGTTTGTGACCCGGTTCACGGCGAGGCGCTCGGCTCTCGGCGGGTGCTCGCGCGTCTTCTGGTGTGCGTCGCCGCTGCGTGCGTGTGCGCCGGCGCGGAGCGTTGTTTTCATTTCATTATGGCCGCTTCTCTCGCTTTTACATTTTCGTAATCGACGATACAAACTCCGTAGTAGGGTTGTCGTGTGCTTATAATATTTAATTACTGCATTCCTTAGTGCAATTTCTAAGTCTAATTATAAACATGTCTACTTTTAGAACAAATATTTTCTAATACTTTTGAGGCTAATACTATTTTAAACTAATACGTGTCAGCGCAACAAAATTACATTTCAGCATACCATGTCGCTAACAAATTGATTCGACAACAACGTTCGATCATAAAATCAATAAATCTCAGTGCAGTTTATAATGTTGTCAGCCCTGTTGCGTGAGCGGGACGGCTGTAGAGGGAGGTGCGGAGTGCGGGAGAGGGACGGCGCTGCTGTCTCACCGCGGGGTTTTTTGCGGCGGCGAGTGTGGGAACCCCGCGGCAGGTGGGGCTGAGATTGCGATGACATCCGCCCCGCCACAATGCATCTTAGCGCGGACTTGTTTTACGATGCCTTGTTCAACACGCCGCGCCGTTTGAAAGGTTTAGACGGGGCCCTTTTTGTGCGCGTCCGTCCGCGAGGTGGAATTGCAAATTGTTCACCTATCTATTGTTTTAATTATATGCAATTATATCAAATAAAATAAATAATTGATTTTTTAAGCGAGTTTCATGCTATAATTCGTATTAAATATATCTAATAAAAAATAAGTAAGACATTAATACACTAAAGGTATATATCACCTGTGCAGTATGTTTTATTAGGTAATCGGAATAAACAGTATACTAGCGGTAGGGTAGACATTGATTGATGTGAGTCTGCAGCCTATCTCGGCTTTGTTTGTTGTCGCGGCGACAAACAGACAGACCCCACGCATTATACGTTACATCACAATAAACGGAATACCACTAATGTGTCTAAATACAAATAAATTAGCAGAAAAACAAATGAATAAATGCTAAAGATTAAGAAAAAAGTTTTACCGTTACAGCATAAATTTTTATGAATTTATTTTTTTATGAAGTATTTCAGAACAATTAGTAATAAAAATTTTCATAACATCATTAATCTTACCATGTTTTGAACAATAGTAAGTAATTTGAGGTTATTAACTAATGTTATAATTATTATACGTTAATTAATTCGAGTAATGAAAAAATATCATTGTACAAATTGAGTTTTTTGTAATTTTGAAGAATATTTCAAGTTTCGTGAGTATCATGATAGACTACTAAAAGACTGGTACTTTTACGACTTTATTTTACGATGGACGTAATACAAATCTTATCCGAGTATTACGAGGCATTACAACTATCGATGTTATAATCTGATTTGTTTATTGAATGTTTTCATTGCTTACGTAATATATTATTTATGAATTAATTAATCATCACTATTCTTATGGGAATTGTGAATTAGTAAACAATATCGTAGAAAGCAAAATATCTATGGTAAATGCTTTTATATGTATTAATAAATTGAACCTCTGACCTCTGATGAGTCAGCGAGGTGCGGCGATACTACACAAAAACCGGGACATCCGAGTGAAAACGCTACACTAGTTGCCAATGAAAAGGTCGCGAGTACCAATTAGAAACATTTAGTAGAGGATGTACGGAGCTGAAATGTTATTTTTTTGTCGTAACCCGTTTTAATGAGGAAGAGAGAATTGGGTGGACGGCCTATATTTAAATGACGTTGGTATTTGTGTCGTGTAATAGTTTTCGCCTCGAAATTTCAATAGTTGGTTGTAATTAGAAGCGGCCGGTGTAATACGAGCTTCGTGAGACTCGGTTATCGCCGATTTATCATACGAACGGTACAAACACTAAATTTAATGCAATATTATGGTAATTATTTCTTTAGTTTAGGTGCTATTCATTTCAATTCATTCATTACTTTAAGTGGATTTATAAACTTACGTTTGGAGCAGTAGTCTCCCGTCCAGCCAGGTCTGCATACGATCTCTCCCGCGGGCGAGCAGGTGTAATGTCCGAATGAATCGTTCCTAGGCCTGCATAGGACCTCACAGCCAGAGCCGTAGTAATGCGCGGCGCACGTCACTCGATACGACAGCCTTAAATGAGCACCCTCAGGTCCGCCCCACCGTTGGTCCTCCTCCACCCACGGGCCTCCAACATCCGCTATACTCTGCTTCGTCATACGGGCAATAAGGGAATCTGGAAAGAAACACAAGCATGTTAAACAATGTAATCATAAACAAGAAGAAATTATATTTAGAACGCATTAGTTATGTTCATAGAAAAGGCAAGAAATGTTTATAGAGACCATGTTCGTGCGCTCAGATCAGAATCTCGCTTGAGGATAACGACACGCTTAATTTGATTAAGTCGAAAAAAGTATTATCTGCGTTTGTTTATCGGCGTGGGAAAGGGTTATACGAGTAAATTGACCTGTTAGTGTCTATTTGACGCCCGCATTCGAACGCGGGAATTCATTGTTCCCAGCGTGATTCACTGCTTTGCTTCGTTGGCGCCCGTTTTGATTGATAAAGACTTACTAAACAGATTCTTATGTAACGGGCATTGGAGAATCAAACAAAAAAAAATATGAAAACATGAACGTCAGTTGCAAAACTTTTAAAGTATGTGAAACCATATCGCAGATTAAAAAAGACATCGAAATCCATTCATCAAAAGCGCGGCGTCTCGTCGGAGGATCGCTGAGAAACCTCAGTATCTCCGAGTTCCTACATTTATTTATTTCCACTCGCGGTCTCGTCGGTCTTTTTGCCCATCCCGGCGCTACATTCCTAAGCCGGTAATCCCGACAGCAGATAAAATTAAACCAGACGCGAAACAAAATTAAAAGGTACATAAAAACGATCGTAGCCGACTAATTTCGTGGCGCACGGGACCCGATGCGATACCGATGGGCGCTTTGTGTTGCGTGGGGCTGGTGTCGACCATACGGGGATATCGAGTAATGAGACGGACCTTATCTCACATCTTGCATTCCTCACGACCTCTTGTTTCATATCAAACGGTCAGGTTAATGCATTTCGCCACAATACCCTTAATATTCAAATCGATCGCTCTTGATTTCTAAACGGTAAGTAATTTATGAACGTTTTTGGCGCGAGTTCCGCTGCCGTAATCTGTGCAACTGACAGATGATTCGGGTTAAAACAGAGTCGGGATTCAACCGTTTAAGCCTACGCCGATACAATCACGGCAATAAATCTGGTAGATAAAACGCATAGATACATTCACTGCTTACCGAACGAAAACATAATAAATATAGATTTATTCCGATTAGGAATCGAGAGAATAAATCAATCGTATAGGAACTGAGAACATGTGATATATCATTACGTAAAAAGTTTAGTATGCAGTCTAGAATACGACGAGAATGTTTCATAATGTTCTAGTTGAAATTCTAGATTCAACTTTGATGAAGGTTATATTATATCATATAAGATTATGTTTCATGTTATTACATATTAATTTTAAAGTAGGTATGCATATTCAATCGATGGTTATTATAGCGAGGCTGCAGAGTTGGGGGAATTAGAATGATGTGTGGGAACGCGGATCTCGGCCGCGCACAATTTAACCTGAATGTGTGCAGGAGAATTATGGCAACCGTGAGTGAACCCCACTGCTCAGGTGGTTTAGGGTTGCCGCTTTACTTATTTAAAGTTATTCTTATTTTATTTTTAAATAATGAATCATTAAATAATAATGTAACTTATGTCAGCTGTTTATTATTTCTTAATACACGCCGGATGATTTACAAGAACATTACTGCATCTAATTTTAAATAATGTTTAAGACCTTGAGCATCACAAATTACAGCTATCAACGTAAATCACGGCTGTAGAAAATGAAGGCTCCTTCTTTTTAATATATAAATAAATAAGGCATTTAATTGAGGACGTTGTACGTGTTTAGGCAACATGTTATTACGGCCAGAGGTCAAAGCAAACATACACGTGAAGGTAGCGTTATACAAAATAAAAGAAAGCGATCGAAACGATAATTTAGATTGGACGAAACATCGGATGCGGACGATTTGGGGATGCATTAAATGCGATTTTGAAGAAAACGCCAGGATGCGATCACGCGATACAGCTTCCGATGAACGTATCGCCGCGGCCGGATGCACGCCGACATTATACTGTTATTGACAACGACCGACAGATCCGGACTGGATCTAGATTATAGTCTAATTATGTGAAATTAATGTCGATATATCGGTAAACAAAGATACATCGATATTAAGTACATAAATAAGTCGGCGTGTAAGAATTGAGTAGAGTTATGTTAAGTACAATAGCGCGTCTCGGTTCTGGCAGTGGTCGGACCGGCCGCAGCCCGTCGCCGCCGTCGCTGTGGGAAACGGAATTTCATCAATGGCCTGTGCACACAGACGACTCACTCCTTTTGTTTATAAAACTGTCCACTTCTAATGCTCGACGAGTTTTCAATTTGAGCGGCGCTTCACGACTCGGCGAGTAAACAATCTTGCGGCCCCGGGCCCGCTTGCCTTTTCGAACGTGACTTACAATTTAGGCGGGATTAACAAAACAGAGTCATTATATAAAAATTTTTCGCACGTCATTCTACGCGTTAATTATCCATTGTTTTTGAGGAAACGGTAATCGTGTTCCGCGGTGAGGTGCCACAAATTGCGAATTACGCAACTCTAAGTCTGGCGAGAGGCAATTAAAGTGGCACTATCATGACGAGAAAGCTCTGGGAACTGAGAGCCGGCCATGTGTAATGAATTGACTAATAACGCACGGACAGATAAGCGGACGTCACCACATAGCTGCCACAGTAACTCCATCTTAGTATTAATACGACTGGCCCCCGGCAACCGAACAACTTTTTTCCAGATTCTTAAATAAAAATGATGATGTATAAAGCTCATTTATGTATCAGTATCAACGTAAAAATGAATTACCATCAGATAAGATAGTACCGGAAATATATACATTTAAAACTGGTGTAGAAAAGCTGGGTAAAGTCCGGTTGAATACCGGATATCTGGCAAGAGCACGAATCACTTGACGCTTCATTTCACACGCTCTCGGTGCGCCTATATGGAGGTGTAAATCGAGACAGTGCGATATCGTGAGCGGGGACGCCAGCCGCGGTAAACAAAGAGTCATAGCGCAGGGCATGTGCGCGTCGTCCCTCCGCGCCTCCTGCTCACATCATAAATTGAATCTTCCGGAGCTTACAATTTTTTACCAGCAAGCCCTATGACGAAAGATGAAGTAAACTTGAAAAATTTCACTTCCTCGGGTGGTATATTTTTTTAATAGGGGCCCGTTAGCCAGGTGTGGTGAGCCCCGGGGTATAAAAGATTTCGTTGAAGCGGCGCGGCGGGATCGCTATTGTCGCCTTGAGGTTTGTAAGTCGCAGAATCTCTTTATGCTTTGAACAATACTGCTGAATACGATGCATTTGATTCTTTTCTAGGTTTCGGTAAATTAAGTCTCTTTGCGTAATGTTCAAAGAATAAATCAATACCAATCTATCCAAAGCGTACATTGTTAGGATTGAATATATTTGAAAGTTGAATGAAAGAAGTAAGGGTGGGTATCGTTTTTGATAGTCGCGACCGGTTACTATTGGAAATGGTAAAAAAAATCTGAAGTGATTTAATTAAGCATCGTGCTGCGAGATAGTGAGTGCACACAAACTGCTGCGCCTCTAACCTGTTATTATGCTTGATTAGATTTCTGTTGGTTACGTTTCTCGGTAGTGATGCGGCGCCGCCCATCGCTCCCGCGCCGTATTAAAAATACACCCGTCCTCGTGTTAGTGTTGCCATAAAAAGGGATTTTACCGGAACTATACTGGATTTTACTAGTAAAATTTTCACAAGTCAATTCGCATACAAATCTTAGTCATGTTAAAAACTCAGCATCTTTGAAAATATCAATGAATAAGGCATGTAAAGAAAGAATTTACTTTAGTAAGGACTTTAGTCCTAAAATTTTATTTTTTAAAATGGCTCCCCTAACCCTAAGCTATCCACTTCGGACGCTAATGATTTTCGGTAACCGACTCCGTAGCGCACCATATCTCTGAATCTGTTTTTAAGTAAATCACGCCTGTTGTTTTTTATTATTTCAGAGCGGGCTTGTAATTATGACGGTCAGAGTGCATTGGGTTCGGAATCTAATTATGAAATGGGCGTTATTATTGTCTATGGTATGGAAGTTTGCGAATATTATAAAAATTGGGCGTGTTCTAAAAGTTTCCAGTGTAAGACGTTTTTTTTTTAAATAATCGTGTTCGAATTTTAAATGTATATCGAGTTCCGCTTGCCAGCATTTGAAGTTTTATTTGTATCGATAAGCTTCGAGTATTGATGCACGCGCCAATCTCCACGATGATGTATTTACGAGTACGTTTCATTTGGTTATATTTCCTTTGGTATCGTTTCTCTGTCACGCTATGTCGCATGTGATGTTAAACTTGTCGATAGTTTATGGAGATACAGCGGACGATATCGATTGCCGAATTTATAGATATAACAGGATATATTTGCTAAATATACATTGTAGCTGATGTACGTACGAATTACTTTTTTTTCTATTTTATCTGACGTCCAGGCGTCGGTCAACGGCCATCGGAATACATTAGAACATTTCTACTAAATTTTCGTCCTACAGAAGGCTGACTTTATTAGAATATGGTGCGCATTGGCACGCGAATCACGCGCCGCGAGGCGTGCTCTGAACGCCAAGCGTCGACACCATGGGAACATTTTTGTCTTCCACGATGTGATAATATAAGCATTCAAATATACATACTGTCCGTTAAATGCACGATAAACACCCAGAATTACAGTGAAACCTGAATGTGAGCGAGTCGAGACATACGTGCGTTGAATTTTACACAAATACACGAAATAAAGCTGTTTCATTACGACATTATAAATTAAAAACGTAATAACTCACCATCAGATCTTGAAGTTTCATTCGTGTCATGCCACGCTTCGACTATCAGCGAGAAAGTGCCCTGAAAACAAGAAAAGAACATTACACCTGACGCAAAGTACATACATTTATATTAAAAAAAAAACAAGCTCAAATAACCGTACAGTGAAGTTCTATAACGAGCATTAAGCAAGTATGTTTTTCTCGTTCGTCTATTGAGATAAACCAAGATATAACATCTCTTGGTGCGGAGACCTTTAAAATGGGCGCGGCGGTCGAGCATTTCAAATATTTCCTTTAGTTTACGACTCGTTTCGGTATGGCGGATGGCGGATGGCGGATGAGTGTAAATTAAAAGCACGATAGACAGGTGAAGTCGGAGGCAGATGCGCGCCGAGAGAATTGTATTAATACGGGCTAAAAATACACGCGTCGTCCATTCGTACATAACTCGGCCAAATATGGAATCATCGTTTCCGTGGGCGAGCGTTGAAAAAAATTTACTGTAATGGGCTGCTATCAGATAGCGCCTTGTTGACATTTGTGAATGTTTGCTTAAGGAGGCAAAACGGTTGTCGAAAATACGATTAAATATGATAAGGAATCGACAGCTTGCCGGCGCCTGCTCACTGTCTATGGTCTCCCGAGCCTCCACTCCCGCTTATGCGAAAATGTCTATAATGGCGCGCTTGCCCCTCTCTAGTTCATTAACCTCCAATTAGCGAAGACAATAGATTTATAAGTGCAGATTCTCGCAAATGAACTAAAGGATTAAATGCTTATTCGTGTGTAAAGGAACGCGCATATTGTTTTCTATATGGAGATCGTAAAAAGCAGCAATCGTTGCATTCTGTCGGTGTTACTTTTTATATGCATAATTATACTGTTCATATATTGATAATTCCGATAAATAACATGATGATAAAACTAGTGATATTATGAAACCAGTAGTGTAGCTCGTTTGGACTTCGATATTGGTTTACAAAAGAGTTAAAAAAAATTAAAAATTCTTGATTACACATTTGATTTGAAAGGTGACTGGATAGGAAAGTTGTCATCAAAAAGTCAATCGAATAGTAATTTTGTTTAGAATTAACGGCTTATAAAATGTAAAGAGGCGTAGCGACGTAACGTTGTAAAGGCAATCAAGGGGCCGGCAGCTGCGCCCGGCGGATATGAAAGGTCAACTTAATTCCTTCATATGACACGCTCGCCTTACCGCATGATTCAATTTTTCACCGCCAGATGTCCCCTTTCGTCAATTAAAGACGAATGAAAACATTATTTGCATCGCGATACGTAACAATGATCTATTTAGCATAGGAACTCACTAACAATCATCATTGTGGATGGAAATCGATGCTAGAAATCACATTTTCTAAGATTCTCACGAGTCTATTCTATAGGTAAGATTTCTTTTCGATCCGACTCGTCGGGGTTTTGACGAATTTTTAATAAAGTATAGAGTCGTGAGCGAGCGGACGTGTTATCGTCCGACTGTGAATAACAAGCAGGCTACCGATCTGAATAAACAAATTTCAGTTTTATCCTTTCTTGCATCGTTTGTGAAACGTGGACTTTATTATTAGTGGGTTAGGGAGCAGAATAGCGGACGGGGCACGGGCGATTCGCTCGCGATCAAACATGTTGAGCCGTAGTACACAATGTATTGATTTGTTAATCGGGTATGGAGAGCGCATTTCGGTCAGCTGTAGCCGGCTGTAAGTGTATGCCGGTTCCCACGACAGTGACTCTCGTAGCCGGCCCATAAAAAGCGGCCGACGACGTAAGCGTACGTGTGCAGGTAGCTTTATATATATACGTGCCCGCGCCGATACACTCACAATGCGCACACCAGCCACCAGCCAACACTCACCAGCTAGTCGGCAATTAAGGAAACATACTTAACGTTGTTTGTCGGTGTAGAACTCGCTTTATTTATTAAATGGTATACATGTCGATAAGCATTTCGGTGTGTTCCATTTTTACATTTTCAACATAAAGTTATCTAGAACGATACCTCTATAGTTGTTTTGTTTGTTCAAGATTATTAACTTCGAAGCATTACACATTCAAATTCTCTTTAAATTGATTAAACATTAAGAAAACTTAAGGATAGGTTTTTTAATATCAGAGGATTTTATTAAATAAAAAGATAAGGAAACCCTTCGCGTCATTACTTCTAACCCTAGAATGCGAAGCGTTAAATTGAGTTAAGGAAAGAAATGCAATAGACTGAGCCATATCGGTTTCTGTAACTGAGGAATTATTTGATAATCGTTTTATGAGGATGCCTTAAATGCTACGATATCGTTGTCTTGTATATTTCTTTATTAATTAAGGGAACAGGGATACGTGGGAACTGGGCAGTTAAAGCTATTGTAAAACAGAGTTTGAGATATTTTGGATAACAAAAGAAATTATCCTGCGACTTAACTTTCCCACAACTTTTGGCCACGTGTTTGTAAATACTGTATTGTCAATTGTTTATTGTTTCATTGCTCATTTGTTTTGTTAAAAAGGCAACAGATGTTCGTTTATTATATTTTATGGTTGCTAATTTGAACGTCCATAGATTAGGAGATTTAAAAATGACAAAGTCCTTTATTGTATTGCCATTGGTAGTGTGTATAAACATCAAAGCTGGTATGGCCGATCCTCTGTCGACACAAGAAAATACCTAGTTATTCGGAACACAAACAGGCAGCGAGCAAATGGAGAAAATCGTGATTTCATATTTCACACTTGGATAGTGTGGTAACATCGTTTGAACAGGTTTTTTTTTTCATTTAACTATATCCCAATGTGGATATAAAAAGCCATTTGGTGTCTTATAGGTTAACGATAAGGTACAAAATCCATTGGCGTAATGTCAAGTTCACGGGACCGGTTCAAGTAGACGGGCCGAGGGAGCATCGTGTACCGTCCATCAAATTAAAAGATATGCGAAATGCACGTTAATGAAGGACCAGTAACGTGTCCGATTTTAAAGTGTTTCAGACACGTTTAATCCGAATTATTAATGGTTTTAATTAACTTTATCTCATTCTATTCCTGAACTGAATCTGAAGAACGATGAACCTGTGATTCATCGACCTTACTCAGAATTTCTGTACCTCTGTCAATTTAAGTTTTTGCTGTTATAATAAAAAAAATAAAAGATGGCCAGTTCAATTATGTCAAACTTGATGTTGTCATTTAAAAATGTACCAAAACAGTTCGGAAACGTTAACGCGTTTATTGAATAAATTACGCACAATGTTGCCCGTACCGTGTGAATGTAAGATTTTTATGTACGAATATTCTATAAAAAAATATCCAGGTCGACGCTTTATTGGCGACAGTACACGGGTACGGTTAGAATGCTAAACAGTTTCGTGGTAAACACGAGTAAGTATGGCCAGTTCAAACGTACAGCGCGGTAGAATTTAGGATGACGTTAGAGGTACAGGTGACTTTCTAAATAAGGTACAGTGTAAATCAGACGGATTATAGTTGTTGGTATAGTGGCACTTCGCCGTGCAGAGACAAAAGTCGGTTCTCAAAACTATTCAACCTATGACGCTCTAATCCAATACCGACGACCATTTATTTTGTCTTACTCTTTTTCAATATTTAATAATCTAGATAATAAATCTAAAAGTTGTTACTATTAATAGAAACTTATTAAGTTGGCCATAAATTAAATCTGATAAAAAAGGTGAGTAACATTTGTCAAAATAAATATAAAATAAAAATATTTCCTGAGATATTGAGTTTTATCTGCAAGCGTAGCAATTAATATCCTCCAATTAAATTAAACTGTTGAAAATTTCTCACGGCAATCATAAAATTTAACCGCTAGCCAGTGTTGCTATAGTCGAAAGTTGGAGTAAACAGAGGTCGCCATATTAGAGAAACTCTGGCTCATTATGAAAGGATTAATTACTCCAACCGGGAATACCGCGAAGCATTAAAAATGTTAGAGTCGGTCGTAACTCACGACGAAATGTTACACTTTGTGTGATCATTTTACTTCACTCCACAAAGCAGTGTCATTAACGATTTAAAAGTAAAAAAAAAAATACTGGCCAGTTACATTGATCGAATAGCAAAAGGAGAATCTTGGATTTAAAAAAGAAAACAAGAATAAGCTTAATTTCTCAAGACATAGGTGGGATTCGCGGCGTCTGGACGCACCCGGTCCCACCAGATCGGAGGAATTCGAAAAATGAAAATGTCGGCAATAAACAACGGAATGATTTGAATGAGGCATAAGAATTAAAAAATAAAAGCGGAGCTAACAAATTTCTCGAGTCGGCCGACCTCGCTACGGTAGATCGGTTGATAACGCTCTGAGAAGGGTTAACGACAGGGTTGTCGGGCTGTAATCAAATTTCCACAGATTATAGGAAAGAAATGTCACATACATATTAAAGGTTAACTTGACTATTGAATATCTTCTATAAAATAAGAAACGTAACAAAAAAAGTATACGAAGAGAAGGGAGAAGTGTTTTTATTTTTGAACTTTTTATTGATGTTGGCAACCCTGTTAAACATCGACTCCAAAGACCTTGTGATCTGTTCATACGGAATTGAGAATCCTTATTCGAGTTGAGACATGATTTGTATGAGATTTTAATCTAATGCGGTTTTTACACTAATCTACTTTGCATACTCGCCGAAAACGATGAGATGATTTGAATATAAGACCATTTGCTAATGTGTTTTTAAGGTGCTTTTTATTCGATTACATAACCATCTTGTTGAGAATTAATTATTCATTATTAATTTAATCCACATTCTTTGATATAAAACGTAAAAAGGTATTTTTTACCAGCATCTTTTAACGTAAAAGATTCCGCCACTATAAGTATGTTCCCAGGGTTCGTCCTTTGACACATCAATAAATTCAAAGAAGCCCGGTATACGTAAGTATACCTTCCATACTAAACATTGATTAGGTCTTATTTGCACATTGCGGATATGGCACGATACAGACGTTGTGTGACGAATAAAGACGGGGATGCAAGGAATTTCATCACAGATTTGAAGGTACCGAGTTCCCTCGATACGTGAGAACGCTTTGGAATCGAGCGAA